AGAAAGGTTATGTATTTAAAGAAGAGTCAGGGAAAGTGCAAAACAGAACGGACGGTGCAGCTCTTTGCTGTAGAGAAGAGTCAGGAGATGGAGCCTGTGCTCAGTGCTGCTGTTGATAATGGTGTGAACAGTAGCGTCTTAGTGGTTGCTTTCATCATTCCCTCCCTTAAGCTCAGGTCATTGGGTGTGGCAAGGGGCTTGAGGAGGGTGGCACCAACAGGGCTCAGGAGGAGATGCTGAGGAGGCCACCTGAAGTCAGAGGCACGGGCGAGCCAGGTTTGGGTGCCAAGGATTTGCCCTCAACAGCCCTGGGGTTACAGCTACGTAGTTCTGGGCCTGTAGCACCTTCAATGGCAGGACAGGAAGATAAGAGGGTCAGTGACAGTGGCAGACACAGGAAGAGAGATGAGGAAAATCAAGAATTTCACTCTGTAGCAAAGCCAGCACACTTGGCTGTGAAGTCACAGCTGCATCCACGTGCTCTCCCCATTGAGGGTTCCCCTAGGACTCTGTGACCTCTGTCAGCACTGACCACACACTGTGCTCTGGGTGCCTTTCTTTGGCTGTCTCCCTCCTATTCTGTGATCTGGATGCTCAGTGACGGGCCCCATTGACCTGTGACAAAGGCAAGCAGTGCATCCTCATGTTCAGTGGGGTTTCAGGACACATGGGGGACATCTAGGGCGGGTGAGGTCCAAGCTAGAGGGCCTGAAGGACTGTGCTGTGATAAACTGTGTTTAGGTCCAGAGAGCCCGAGGAAGATGAAGTTTGCCTGCCTCTCCTTCCGGCAGCCTTATGCTGGTTTTGTCTTAAATGGAATCAAGACCCTGGAGACAAGATGGTGTCCTGTGCTGAGCAGCCATCAGAAACGCACCATCGCCATCCACATTGCTCACAAGGACTGGGAAGATGATTCTTGGCGGGAACTGCTGGTGGAGAGACTGGGGATGAACCTGATGCAGATTCAGGCTTTACTACAGGAAGGAGAACGATACGGCAGAGGAGTGATAGCTGGTAAGTAATGGCGTGCAGAATACAATGTAGGCCACGCAGAGTGGAGTCGGCAGCTTGCTGCTCAGTAAGTCGGTGTCTCTGTTTTGCTGTGAGCCAGAGGGGAGTGTGCCGAAGTTTCACTATGTAGCAGTTCTTCTAAGGGTCACCAAAGGAACTGAGCTGGGGTGCATAGGCCTGGATCTCACAGACTTGATTAGTTACTTCTCCACTCTGGGCCTATCGTCCTGTTTGTAGTCTGAGAGTCCATGTCAGCAAAGTGTCTGCATGTGGCACTGGACTATGTATGTGTCTGTGTGTGTGTGCAAACATCATAGCCCATGACAGGAAGCACAGACACGAGCTAGTAAAGTGATCTCGGAGTCAAGCCACCTACCTGCTCTCTCATGCCTGTCACATCCACAGGGCATGGAGGACCTCAGGTAGGACACCAACCAGCAACAGA